AGGTGAACTTAAACTTAGAATAAAAGGTTCCTCTGGGGGGAAAGAAAAAAAAAAAACCCTGCAAAGCAGCTCCCTTCAATCAGTATAGGTTAAGAAGACTGAACTTATTTTTCTTTGACTTCTCTGAAACATTCATATAAGTCCTTCATTTTCCAAGTAGAGAAAGTGACCAAAAAAAAAATTACGTGACTTGTCTTAATATCAGGGGAGAGTCAGAAGTATAATGCAAGTCACCATACTCCTCAACAAATCCCATCCTCTACTAACAATGTAAAAATGTGTATACACTTATACACATGCATGTTTTGTATTACAGTAGTGGTAAAGAATACACACACACACACACACACACTCTCTCTCTCTCTCTCTCTCTCTCTCTCTCTCTCTCTCTCTCTCTATATATATATATATATATATATATATATATATACATATATATATATATTTTTTTCATGTATCCGTATGTTAGGATGATCTATCTTATATTTACCCTCACAGACAAACATTGACCCTGACACTAACTCTGAAGACGTTCATAAATTAAATAATACAGCAGTAAGTCTGCTTTCCCTTTATAGTGGGGCTTAATGAATAGCTACAGGGATATTGGGGCAAACACACTAAACTGAGAACCCAATTTTACCAGCATCAAGTAAAAAACAATGGGCACTTCTTAGGCACATATCACATGCAATATATTGTGGGGAGACAGAGAGAGCAATAGCACACAATCCTTTCGCTTGTAAGGAGATTACAATCTTGCTAGCAGTGGCAAAATAAAAGCTAACCACCAAAAGATTTAAATAACAAAGCATGGCCCCCAAAGACCATTTTTGGAGAGCAAACTGAAACAAGCAAAACTGAAGAAGCTGAAACAAAAAGAGGAGTGGTGGGAAGCAAAGGGCATCCTCTCCTTCATTGAGGGTACATTAATGGAGAACCCACTGTGTGCCAGGCTCTGCATTGGTGCCGAGAAGAAGACGGCTGCCCTGCTGAAAGGGCAGCTGCTGGTGGGACAGACGGCCAGGGAAGCACCTGTGCCCTGAAAGGGGTTTTATAGAAATAGGTGCAGGATGTTGGGAAAGGGGAAATGCCTCACTTGGAGGTAGGGGGTGGAAATGATGGACCAGGAAGCTTTTATAGGAAAGGTAAAAGGCAATCTGAGTTTTACACGATTAGGAAGAATATGTCAAGCACCCTGGGCTGCGGGTGGACAGAAGAGGCGTTATGATAGGGGAGAGTACACAGAGTTAAGAGAGAGAGAGAGCAGCGGGGTCGTGGCTTTGCAAGGTCAGTGTGCCTTGAGGGGAGTACACCTGGAGCCTGCAGGGAGCGGGGCTGGAAAGGAAGACAGTGCCCATGTCACAGGGTCTCTGATGCCACCGCTGGTGATTAAGGGTAGTCCCATGAGCCAGCATGTCCAAAGGGTCCCTGATGGAACACTGCCTCCTTGGGAGGTCAGTGTCTATTTCTCGAGATACGAGTCTCCTGGTCAATAAGTCTGAAAATTGTTGGCTCAGGCCCAATTCAACAAGTCTCTTGCCTGCAGGAAAAGTGGGAGCCCATAATGAGCTAATGTACGTGTGACTCTCCATGAAATACACGACACGATGAACACATATTTGACCATGGAACCCCCTGTGCCATGAAGAACATCGATCTAGAGGGACCAGTGAGCTTTGGGACTCACCCTGGAGAGCTTATGGGACGAGACAGGGAGACTTGAATCATACTAAGGTGGCGAAAGTTGTGAGCAAATATGCCTTTCTGAAGAAATACCACTGCTGAATGAAATCCATTAAGCGCTAGCCACACAAATTCAGTACGATGCTTACTTGACACGTGTATGCCCCTCTGGAAACTTTCGTATAAGGTTTTGACGTCCTCGTAGAAATATGTCAAGGGCTCGTCACTGTCAAGTAGCGTGGATCTGCGAGCACCATCGCTGCCCTGTGGAAAAAGACAGATGCACAGATGAGCATGTCCAAAGAAAGCATTAAAAATAAAAAGCCTGAAGTACACGCCTCCGGTCCTCCAGGGGAACCCTGTGGGGTAGCTGCTCGGGGAGTATTCGTTGCATAAACTGAAGGACAGGCTGGGGCCCAGAGGCCCAGTTTGTGTCAGCTCTTGTGGAAATGACACAGCATTCAGTTTCACTTCCGTAATGTTATCTACATTCTTTTTTTGTTAAAGTGTATCTGACTATATATTTTTTGAGATTATTTCCACTCATTTATCTCTTTGCCAACTGCACTGTTAGGAACTTCAGTTTCTCATGTAGCATCTAACAGTTACAGTCATCAGCTCCAAGACACATGGTGTGCAGACATGCCTGTACCCGTGTGATGTGGAGCACTTATGGGTGTGCAGACTTGCTATTGCTGTGTACCCTTCTCTACGCTGCCTTCATCCATAGTAAGCACGCCTGCCACGGACCAGAGCTCCTCGCCAGTAGTGGGACTCATCTTAAGGGCTGGTCATTCTCCACCTGTGGGCTGCTGTACCCTCTGGGGCCACAGAGACACTGCAAGGGGTCCAGATAGCCACAGGAATGCCAAGCATTCTTTAGAGACTGATGAATGAAAGCTCAACTACTATGATGCCAGAGCCTACAATTTTTTATTTTTTT